ACTACAGGTAAGACACTAATGCTTGACAAGCGTGGGAATTATTCATCTTCGTTGGATCCTCATCCATTTTTTCAACATGATTCTTATCTCTCTTTCCAGCACAAAAATGTTCACTTTAGTTTGTTTTTAGACAGATTTATTTTAAGAAAGACCATGCTCCCGAGCTAACATGATCCTTATCTCTCTTATCAGCACAAAAATCTTCACTTCATTTTACTTTTAGACAGATTTGTTTTAAGAAATACCATGCTTCCAAGTTAAAAAATCTAGAAAAACAAAATAATGCAAATAGGTTTTCATACCTATATCCGTCATAACTACAGCATTACACTGACTGCACAATGGATGAGGAAACAAGCTACTAGAGTTAAGAAGCATGATATTTCACATATACAACTGGGGCATGATTTTATGGTGAACTCACATGAATAAGCAAAAGAGTTCTTACCAAGTATCAAGATAATATTAAGCAGTGAGCAGGTATTAATCATCTAAATTCCTTTAGGATGTCCATTAGCTCAAAAGACATTCTTACCTCATTTTCTGAGAGGTAACCATCAGGTACAAAAAAACCATCTGCACATTCATCTTCATCATCAGCTTTTAAAAACCCTTCCTCCATACTTTCCTCCTCATCTTTATCACAATCTGAGAGGCTTTCCCCAGGCTCTTCCTGCAGAATGAGAATGAAATTTTAGCATCACTGTTTAAAGTAAAACTTATTTTTAATCCAAACCAAAAATTTCAAATACCTCTTCCCATTCTTCATCACTATCAACATCATAATCCAAATCCGGGTCCTTCCTTAGGGGATTGCGTGGTCCCACAACTTGACTGAAATGATGGCAGCATAAACATCTCAATTTGATACTACAACCAAAAGCAATAGGCAGGTCTTGCAGGGAATGCAAAAGCAAGCAATCATATAGAATTGCAAATTCAGCTTTACCCTTATGCAATCTTTTTCCTTGTATGTATGCTACAAATTCCATATTCATATTTTACAACACAATGGCAATGAACATATAACATGACAAGAAAAGATTTTCACTAAAAACTGCAGAAGTACTGGTCTGCATCTTACATAACTAGACTTGATGAATTGAAAACAGAAATTACACTCTATCTTATGGCATTAAATCCTTAATCATATTTTGCAAAAGAATAATAACATTTGCATCTCAACATCAGCTAAATAGTGGATCTTCATTACACTGCACTTGGAGAACTGCATATAAGAGGGACAGCAGAAGAGAAGGCCAACAAGCACAAAGATATCATTAAAGCAGTCCATTTCTATGCCAGCTTTCATAAATAGGCAGAGAAAAAACTGGATAGTCAATAGAGTGCTGCTACAGTCCACAGAGCTTCTAGAAAAAGATTGAAACTGGAAGAATGCACCAAAGCAAAAGAAGCAGATGAACTACTAGCAGAGACATAGATATGGAATTTGAAAGAGAGAGAAAGAGAGAGAGAGAGAGAGAGAGAGAGAGAGAGAGAGTAAAAAGGAGCCCAAGGAAAGTGAATCATAGATCTGAATATGGACAGACTGAAGCACTACAATAAGTTGTTTCTAGATTCATTTAGACCTTTTGTTTTTTTGCTTTTCAGTTAGAACTATTACTCTTTATAGCAAAAAGAAAAAGAAGGGCTTAAGTTTAGGACACTTTTCTCTAATCTCATCCAGGAAAACACCACGATTAAACTGGAGCCTACCTTTTCTTAGGCCAAATTCCATAAAATGCAGGCCTATGGCTCTTATCAAATTGCAGCAACTGCTTCCTTCGTTTGCAGTTCTTAACATCACGAATTAAAGAATCTGAATAAGGAGTGCAGGACCTGTCATTCAACCTCTTTTCTGCCAATCCATCTATGTTAAACTCGTCATCATGAGTGATTACTCTATTGGTAGACAACTTAAGCTCCTTAAACAGTTCAGTCTTAGGTTTCTGACGTACACCCCAGCACTGCCTAGAATTTGAACAAATCACATTACCCAAGTGATGCCAAGAAGACAAGTGCAACCTGGGAAGTAAGGCAAATCCTAGCATTAACATTCATACTGAAATTTTATAAAAAAGAGCAAACATAAAAAGGCTATAGGAACAACAGTAGGCATACTTGCGAAGATCATTAACATTAATTTTGTTATCTGAGAAGAGTGCACAATCCATTGATTGAGTAACTGTTTCAGTTGCAATTTCTCTATTTCTATTTGAAGGATCAGTTAAGGTTGCTTTGCTACAAGACTGTTCAGCATGGCTTGATGAAGTAGTGGTACTCTTTTTGAGAAATCGTTCCATTATCGAAGCCTGCTTTTGTATAGCACGTTGTTTCCTGAGTTCAGCTCTTTCCTTCTCTGCCTCCTCTAGCAATCGCTTTTGCTCTTTTTCCTTAAAAAAGAGAAAGCAACAGTTTACTTCCCAGATAGTCATGACCATATTAGATGATGCAGCAATTTTTCTCTCATAGAAGAAGATATATTACAAGAAAAGGAGATAAATATTACAAAGTGGGGAGAAAAGATATCCTCCAAACAAAGCAAGAAATAGCAACGTAAAGAACAAAACCCATCAATACAAAGGAGTCCCAATCACCCCCCAAAAGCAGATAGTGGAAACCGCAGAAATAACTATGGGCCTTATCACATAAAGAACAAAAGAGCAACAATCTGTTACATTGAAAATTAC